ACTTGATACTATGTGTTCATTATGGTCCATTCTTCCTCGACGAACAAGTACATAAGTGGCAATTTAGTCAAAGACGAGAAAACAGCACAAGAAATTTGCTTATTTACACGTATCGGCAATGCAAGCTGCCCAGCGACTTCCCCTTCTGACGTCACAAGGGGAATTTCTGTATGCAAATGAGAAGCTAATGAGGAGCCTCGTTTTAAAATACGCAAAAATAAAGTTTCCGTAGACTCAGTTTAAACACATTTTTTCACTTAAAAAAAATATTTATGCTTAGAAACATAAAAAATAATAATATTTATGTATCAATGGATAATTTTAGGCGTGAAAATAGCAGCCATTTCACAGGCACTTTAACAGCCAATGGGAGCACATATGCTACAACTTCTGCTTACTTTGGACTAAATGTTTTTTTGCAGGTGCAGAGCTAGAATTTGTTTCTCAGAAAGAAAAGCCACTGGAACTGCATGTATTACAAAAGCATACTATTCGCTGCGTGGCTGACAATTGTATAAAGTTGAGAAGTGCTGTCTATCAAAGCATAAATATGTGTTTCTCTGTACATAACATTTCACACGATTTGTTAATATTAATATATGATAATAAAAGCTTGATAATATTTTTCTGTTTTTTTGCACTTTATTTGTATCATTGTCATATTAAATATATTGAAACTAATCCAGGGCCACAAACTAATTTATCCAAACAGACACAACACTGACTCTTCTACATATTTGATCTGATATGATCTGATTTGTATACTTTCTTGTCATTTTACCTGTTGTACTGGTTTGTCGCTATCTGGTTTTCTTGCTGAGAATAATGCTGACCCGGATGGAGAGTGCTATAAACTTGAAAATGCCATAGAAATTACGTTTGCCAATATATGTTCATGCAACTTTCAAATGACAACAAGCAAAGGCAGTGTCATTCATGACTTGTTTGATTGAATCAATTTTTACTGCTTGGCACACATTTTTGTCCTAAAAAAATCTAAAAAAAATTTGTCTAGCCGTTACTTATTTTTCTCAGATATGTTATCCAGTTTTGTTCAAAGTTGGTACAGGGACAGGTAATAATTGTTTATAAGTGCACATCGCGTTATATGTTGATCAAGTTATTTATTTGGCTTTTTCTGAGACAATTCATATTTTTTACCCCCCCCCCCCCCCAAAAATTGTTCCACATCAATTCTGAACAATTAATAACAGAACTTTAGTACAGCTCATAATGGATAAATTCACTTTGACACAAACCCAGTTCAATGTCAGTTTTAAATTATTTTCTGTCAGGGGCTATGACATGACATGTGTTGTTTTTGCAAATATTCGCATGTATTCACTGACATTTATTTTTATTTTCATGTATACCATATGATCCATTTAACTTTCTCTTCTGCATTTGAATACATTGTGTAGTCTTCCTGTCAGTTGTTCTTGTTTTGTTGATTGTTTTCAGTCATTTGTTTTTTGTTCTTAGACTTAAATCTTAAATTTTCATACATGACTTTTGTACAAAAACAACAACGTTTTAACAGGTACGGTATTTCCTTTTTGCAGTATATTGTATCCTATACTTGTGTCCCATGTTGACTATGTCCTGGCCTGTTTACTTACTTGTCATGGCTCTGACTGGTACATACAAAATGCGACCAAGAAAACATCATTTGTGAAAAAAAAAGTTGAAAGTCAGTTGCAGGTGTCAAGTGCCCCAACAATTTATCAGCCTTTGCTGTGTCCACAACAGCAATATGACTTCACACACAGAAATTGAAAACCACAAATATTGAAGCATTTCATTGAAACTGGTGACTGGTGTTTTACTTCTATTTCCACTATCCTCAAATGCTCAGTGTTGTGGAATTTGTGAGTGTTGCATCTTTACACATAGTAACATAAACATTGCTACAATCAAAGACAAGCTGAACAGGAAGTCTGTTTTGGGCTAGTACCATTGTCAAATTTTGGAAAGTCAAGGACTGTTTATATGGAGATGTTTCAATAAGGAATTGTCAATTTTTAACAAAAGAAACCGTCTGATCCAAACAACCTGCCTCCTTGAAAATTTAGTCTTATCTCCAGTTGCTCACTTATTGTCAAATAGTTCTTTGGGAAAAAATTTAAATTTCTAAGGTGACATCAACTAATTTTTTATATTAATTATTTCATTCATAGAATGTTGTAAATGAACTGGTAATTATTTCCATAATGTACATACAGTTATTAACAATTTGCAACCAATATACTCTAACACAAGACTCATTTGAATAAATTAGATGGCATATATTTTAATAATATATGGGAATATAAAATCATTTCTTTGGTTTTATTTGCATTGTATATACATATCTGAGCATTTTATCACACAAACACTAAAAATAAAATTCATTTGCAAATATAACAAAGGAATCCCAACAGAAATATGCTACTGGTTCATTCATTTAAACTTGTTTTGTTTTTTATAACTGCCTTTGAAAACTAATCACAAATGTATGTACTACATGGATGTAACAATATGCGAATTGGGATATTTATTGGCTAGAAAAGGGCATTTTCATTATTTTAAACAGCTTTCATTTGTGATGTTTCAAAACATACAGTTCAAAATTTGTTGTAATGTTTTTGCATAATAGGGCTAAACTGTGACTTGCCAACATGTCAGAAGACATGCACTACCTTAGCTTTAGGCATCATATGTATTCATTATAGCCATTTCATGTGAAAACAATACAGTGAGATTGTTATTGCACAGTAATTGAAATCAACTTTGACCCCTCCCCAGCATAAACAAGGAGATTACATTTGTCAAATACATGTACATACATTTGTATACTGTATTCAACACATACATTGCAAAGTGTAAACTGTACATTCAACTTCATGGTCAGAATTCCAGCTCACTCAAACTAAACCTGTTGTATCTCAAAAATAGGTTCACCTTTTCGTTTTTTCAGTTAGAGAAAAGTTGAACTATTAATGCTATTATTTAAAGGGTTTTAGTGAGAACTCAGGAATAACAATGTGTCTTTGACTTTTTCAGATAATAGAGGAAGTGTGTGCCAAGCAAGGTTTTCCTCCAGAACAGTATGACATAAAGTAAGTTTGTGTTATTTGGCATGGGGTTGGTTGACTTGAAGGATGTGCAACTACAGTGGCAGTATTGAAATGACATACAGAATGCATCCAATGTATTTTACATACAATTGTACATGTAAACGTTGCATGGGATCAACCATTATGGCACTTTAAATTTTTACATTTGTACAGATTCCGGTGTTATCCAGGATATCAGCTCACACTAATTATAGAAAAGTGATCATCATACCACGCATATGTTAGATTTGTATTGAGTAACATAGATTTCCCCACCATCTAATGCACTCCCCCAATGGCAAGCATGAATACTAGTTTTGACTAATTACTGACTTTAACTCCTTATAGAATTCCTTGATATGTTCTAATCACCATGTTAACCCTTGATAACATTCAAAGTTGCCATCTTTGTTCATGTGTCACACATGCAAGGCACCATCTATTAACCTATATAGTTCAAAATCTAAAATCAATTCTTTCAATCCAAACATATATTTACAAAGGTTCATTGTCTAAATTATGTATTTAAAGTATGTTAAGTTTTGTTTGAAATATGTAATTATGCATATTCCAGAAAACAAATTTCTATTTTATCTGATAAGAGTGAAACTCAGTGGGTCCACTTTGTTGTCATTATCAGTGTCGCAGATATAGTTTTATATGTTTATTCTTCTGTACTTTGAATATCGTCCAACGTTCTGCATTTCATAGTTTAATATTACTTGTTGTCATAAATCACTTATATACATAATTATTGATTTTCTCGTTCCCCTTTAACACCACTTGTCCAGTCATCATTGCATTCCCAAAACTCTCATTGTTGGTACACCTAATGAAATTATATACTGTATCTGGCAGGCATCAGAGAACTGTTCTGGATGTAAACATACCTATTAGATTTGCCAATCTTCCTAACAATGCAAAACTGGAACTTGTGAAAGCTACAAAGCCACGAAAAGAATGTGAAGTTGATATTGCACTGCAATTAGAATCAAATGAAAGGCTACAACACTCATTTCTTCCATCTACCACTTTGTGGGAAATCTTGGAACACTGGGAATCCCAACAGGATGGGTAGGTATTATGCATCTTAACCCTTTGAACATATTAACTTTTACAAAATAAAGTTAGATATTTTCTTTTTGTGTCATATCTTGTTCCATCTATATCTCAAGAGTGGCTGGATTGGATTTAAACCTGATTATGCAATTTTCAACTATTTTTGCTCAATTCTGCTTACATCTCAAATTGTTGCTGCCTTGGTAGGCTCAAACTAGGTATACAGTCACATGTCATTTCTCAGACATGCTTTTGACCAATTTGGTTCAAACTTGATCAATACACTTGATCGAAAAGAGCATATAAATGCTGACATTTAATTTATCATATATGAAACTATGACAGCAAAGAGGCTTGTTCTATTAAAGGGTTGCTTGCAAAGGCACTACAATTAATGATTTTTGAATTCTTTGTAAAGTTCATTTCAATTATTTTGGTAGTGTCAGGTTTTTTTGAACCACACAATTTTGTTTGGCCTAATGAACTTCTTCTACCGGTACTCAAGCTATTCCCAAAAAGGTAGAGCAAAGCCCAATTCAATTAAATGCTGTAATTTTGTCATTTATTTTGATACATGTAATACATTGGATTGAAATTTTAATTGTCAGCTCACTAAAATATAAGTATATTTCAAATCACAAACTGATTAGCATCAGGTGTAAAAACTAGCAATGCAAACTATGTTTTCAGTCAATAGTGATTCATAGTTCGGTTTAGAAATGTTTACTTCAGCAACTCTGAATGTTTCGTTTTGATTTACTCAGTATTAAATCAGAAACAGGATTTAATCATGTCCTTTGCTAGACTCATTATCAGTACGTCACACACTAATGTTCAATAGAGGTTCAGAACATGTCTTTAACTTGTGGTGTAAATTGTTCTGAAAAAAAAAAAACAGTTTCGTTGTACTAATATCTTGTTAAGGTTTCACAGTGCTTTCCCTTTAGTGGAATGTAGTATTTAATGTCTATATATAGTCATGTGATCTCATTAAAAATACATAATTATCATATTTGGAACACTATTACCAGTGATTGCAATAAAGATGTCCTGGAGATCTGCCATCTCTGATGTTTTAAAGATTGGTAAATTATATTATCTTCACTTCTCAATTCATAATAAATATTGAATATATTTCATACTTTTCAGTGCTGAAGCTCGATTTACCAAATGTTCTGATGAAACTAGTGTTCCACCACTCCATCCTGTTTGTATTTACATGAGGCGTGAGGTAGGCAATTGCATGCTATAGAAAACATTTTCGTTTCAGTCACTTTTGTTTTCAAACAAGGAGCATAAGGTAACATGTGCAAGTGTTGTTTGTATCTTTTAGATTATTGGTGAAAAAGCTTTAAGAGCCACTTCTTTAAAAGCGCTTGGTTTGACCAGTGGTAGAGCCATCATTAGGTAATCCATGTTTGCTGGAAATGATATAGAAGGAAATAGTTTTGCAGAAATGTGCCTAATACTTATGAGAATTACTTATTACCATGTCTATGTTCATGGTATGGTGATCAGGAGTTTATTACCAGTAGTATTGACTCATGTGTTTCTGGTTTTTGATGTAATCACTTTTTATTGTGTATTTAAGAATATGACATCTTGAAAAGTTAAAATTATTAATAAATGAAATAATTATTCTATGATCTCACATCATTTGTGATTATATTTTGTCTTGCAGATTTTTACACAGAGCAACTGAACTCCCCTTGGAAGTGACGTCACCTCCAAGAAAAACAGCCAGGCAGATATCATCAGAAACAAAAACAACAGTGGCAACTACATCAACAGTACAAGAGGTCACAACAAAAGAGGAATGCCCTCCTCAACATACACATGATGAGCCCATGGAAGCTGAGTCTAGTGTACCTTGTAAACCAGCTGATTGTGGATCTACTAGTGCAGCATCAAGACCAGTATGTGAACCAATGCAATCAGGAGCCACAGCTGAAATTGAACTGACTCCTGAACAAGAACAGGTAATTCACTACGTTCAATCACCCACCATAGACTCCGGCCAGTCAAAATGACTATTTTGAACTGTAGGCATTAATCAGCGATTCTGCCGGTGACTGAGAGATAGAATCTAGGTCAGAGGAAGCCCTATGACCCCAAGATTCTCTTTCCCTTACATCATGAACCACGTAACCGAGACCATATGGCAGCGCCATAAACGGCTGTACAATCACTCTTTTTTTCATCTCCACCTCGTTGAGAATGATTCTGAGCGGCTCTGCCTGGCTCGTTTGCTTTTTCCTGTCCGGGTTTCTATCGTGGGTTATTGCCGCAGCCGCGGCATACAACATTCTAGCTGGTAGGATAAGTTTTTCTTGTCTTTTTTTCCCTCGTGTCGTTTTCTTCTTTCTGTGTAATGTTTTTTCCACAACAAAGAAATTAAAACCCGGCGCCACTATGTAACCACTTGTTGGTTTCGCGGCGGCACCGTTTACAACTGTATTTCGTTTCCCTCATGCATGTCGTCTTTTATTTACAATGTATTTTCGAGATACTTTTGTCGTAGCTGCATGCCGGGATCGGGGTTTTTTGCCGTGAAGGCGTGTTTTTCACTGGAGTTCTGATGCCTGAGATTTTTCTTTCGGAGCCATCAAAATTGCTGAGACTAACTGCGTCGCTTTTTTCTTTACAGCAAGGTCCAGTAAACAAATCGGTTAAAGTGAGTTGTGTGTTTGGCATGAGTGGAAAGTCTTCACGCTCGGCTACCGGTGCTTCGTGTAGGAGGTACCGACATTTTTTCTCGGTCAGATCATTTTTCTGTATGCTCGGAAAACCCACCACCTATCGTCGTCTGACTCTGCCTACAGTTCAAAATAGTCATTTTGACTGACTGGAGTCTATGGTAATTCAACGTAGTGAATTAAGGCAGAGGGTTCTCCGAACCCGCCTAGTCACATAGTTTATACCCACCATAGATTCCGGGTCCCCCCAACCACCCCACTCTTTGCGTAGCGTTGGTCTAAGTCCTCGAGGCGAAGAGAAAGGAACCAGAGTGATTGTATAGCCGTCTGTGGCGCTGCCATATGGCCTCGGGCACGTGGTTTGTGACCTAAGGGAAAGAGAATTTTGGGGTCATGGGGCTTCCCCTGATCTAGGTTCTATCTCTCCGTCACCGCCAGAATCGTCTTTGAAATAAGGGTCCTATATTAACAAAAGTTGGCTACGTGAATCAACACATACACAAAAAGTAGATTTAGTAAGTAATTTCTAGGAAGATTTGATTGCATCAAAAAACTGAGTCAAAGTCTGTATTTAGTGCACAAGAGTGTATTTAGAACAAAATTTGCATTGATGCTTGTCACTGAGAAGAGCACATTGGATTGTAGGAAAATCCACATAAAATGACTAACTACCCTTTAATGTAAAGTCCAACCAGAAGACAGAAGACACATGCTTCTATGACTATACTCTTTCCTTACAACAACTTGTTGACATATACATGTACGGAATGTTTACAAGACAAATATTGAAATTTGTAATGTCTGTAATAAAATTGATTTTTCATGCTTTTCATAGCAAGCCATGATAATGGGAAGTGCATTGGCGGCATCCATATTCCAGCATAGAGTGGATGAAGAAATGCACAGAGAAAGACAACAAGAATTACGTAAACAGAAAGCACAAGAAATTAAGCTAAGGCAAAGGTATAAGGAACTTCAAAGTTTGTCACCAACAGAGTCTTTTCAGAATTTCAAGGTAAAATTTACAAAACTTTTTATTTAACAATTATTATTTCACATCTGATAGGGAAACAATAAAATTTAGTTGTTAAATCCCATACATACAAATGTCTTCTGTATGTGTTTACATCAGACACAGCAATGATGTAGTGTGTGATAGATCAGACACAGCAATGATGTAGTGTGTGATAGATCAGACACAGCAATGATGTAGTGTGTGATAGATCAGACACAGCAATGATGTAGTGTGTGATAGATCAGACACAGCAATGATGTAGTGTGTGATAGGAATAGGATCTCAGCACTTAATGCACACAATGAGTTTGGAACTCATAAAATGTGTTTCACTGACATTTTATGCTGTTATATGTATTCAATAATCAGTGAGTTTTTTAAACAAGGGAACAGGGGTGCAGTGCCCTCATGCCATGGCCATGCACCCCCTTACCCTGAGAGCAGATCCTTTGGCAACCATAAAATTCTGATTGACAAGGGATCACATGTGGCCACAGTCTTTAACTGTGACCTGTCTGATGGTAATTTTGGCCCCAAGGAAGCCATAGAATGCTCCATTTTAACAAAAAATCCACACCCTGGTAGGAGAACCCTATCTCCTCCACTTGGTGGTGCCTCTGAATTGCAGTGCTCCTTTTTGCAGTTTTTTTTAGAAAAGCCCCTGATAATGATAAGGTTATCACAAGAATACCGCAAAGTACTTGTATATGCTTGAACATATATTATTGTAATAATAATAATAATAATTGTTTATTGCATCTTTAGAAAATACACATTTTTTTCAGTATATAGCAATAGAAATATTAATCAATTATATGAGATGTATGTACTTCATAAAGTAAATACATCAATGTACTGTAAACCCTTGTCTTTCACAAAAGACAAATTTTCGAGATTTTCACAAATCAGTGAAAATTGTGAAATTTTGTAGCAATAGAAATGTTTCTGGTGTTTCACGACACAAATTGTCAGTGACTTTTGTAGAATTTTGTACTCACAAATTCCATAAAATTCTGATATCACAAATATTTCCAGCAGTGAAAATTAGTTGGTTTACAGTAGTTGAGGCAATTTAAACATCTTTTCTTGATTCCTAGGAATAAACTGTTCATGGAAATTCTCAACATTTATTAATTGTTGTTTTACAGTTTCCAGAAGAAACGAAGGGCCAGAATCTTTATTCCAATAAATATAGTGAATTATTAAAACAAACTGAGGTATTTAGCATCTTTCTGTGATAATCATTTAATTTTCATTATAATAACGATAATATTGGTTTCTTATAAATCCTTGTTGTACTCATTTGCGTGTGAGTGTGTCTTTTGCATATTTGATAGTTTCATTGTTTTTTGTCTCTTGTACAGCCATGTGAGAGAGAGAGATTAGTGTTTAATCCTGAATCTGAAGACAGATCACTGCCAACTGGTGAAGATGTACCAGATGAGTTCTTTGAGGTCACTGTGAATGATGTTAAAAAGATGTATTCTGATTTACAGCATGAAAGGTAAAGATAATGACCATGTTAGCACATGTTTCTGGTTTTCAATACATTCATTTAACATGCACTCTTAGGTCATGCCAATTTATTGATGTCTTGGGAACATTGGGAAATAATTTGATCATATGAACATGTGCAAATTACAGGAACTATTTGCAGATTTTCCTGGGTTCACACTTTTATTTTATATTTGAGCATATTTTTTTATTTACCTAATCTTTACCAAGAAGATATTACATAAAAACAATACACAACTCAGAAAGAAAATACAAAAAAATTACAATTATAGGTAATAACATAATTCCTTAAATTATACTTCTATAAAGTACCGGTACTGTAAAATGTAATTTTCACTGGGTTTAAATTTCGCTGATTTACCATTTCAGGCATATTCAGTGGGTTTTAAATTCACAGTTTTATCATTTAGATAATGTGTTCTGTGCTAAATTTTACATATTCACTGGGTTTTGAATTAGCGCATTTTCGAGTCAGCGAAATAAGCAAAATTAAAACCCAGTGAATAATTAATCCTTTTAAAGTATATAAACTTCCCTGTGGCTCTATGTACAAAGAGTCACAGTGATCCTTTTGGAATTTGGTTCCTGTGTATGTATTTAAATTTTAAATATTTTTAATTGGTATTAATGGTTTACAGTCTCTTAAATAGAAATTTGGACAATGGTGTTGAACTGGTTTACATGAAATAAATATTTTAGTATTTGCCTACTTCCAAGCGTTTTACTTCAGTTCAGTACAATTGTATATAAAAGTTGTACATGTGTATTTTGTCTTTTGTTCAGGTTAAAATTAGAGGAACAACCACTGATGACAAGAACTTTGAAGGAAACTCAAGCTATAAAATTGATGGAAAAGTATCCCAAGGTGAATATTGTATCTATCAATTATTTTAGACTTCGTCAGTCATAGTCCAAACTAATTACCTAATTTGCATAATGATGAGCCAATCTTTGGCTTTTCTGCTAATATCTCAAAACCAATCATTCCATTTTACTAAAAACTTGGTAGTATATGGCCAATGCCTAGACAGGATAAGTTTGGGGTTAAAATCTGCACATATTAATTATCTGATTTTCAGCTTTTGCATTGATATCTGAAAAAACAATTCAATGTAACTTTCTACATTGTAGACTTGCATACAGTCTCTTATTTTTTGGTGTTTTTTCAATAAAATAGAATATTATGGGATTATCATCGACCAGTTTAGGTTCAGTACTGATGCAATGATTGACAGGTTCATTAATATTCCACCAATCAGTGTTAAGCTTAGCTTGCTCACTATTCACTGCCATTTTGAAAGAATGTAAACTTATATGTATGCTATCCTATCCTGCTATATTTAACTTATGCTAATTTGTGACGTCATTAATATTAATGGCAAGGGTCATAGTAATTTGCATAAATTAATCTATTTTTATCTTCACAGATATTTTAATAACCCCCTTCATCAGATTTCAATGAAACTTGATACATAGGTGCACTGTGGTAATTCATGGAGTAATTAGTTTAGGATTGTATTCATGGTTAATTATCTAAATTCTTATGAACTAAGATATTGTCTGATATCCTCAAAAGCACCTCAGATTGCAATTAAACTTGTTAAGTACTAGTAGCTTTAAAATAAATTGACAGTTATATTTTATCAATATGACTATCAAATATTGTTGTCTTTATAAGGTATTCTTTAATCATCATTTTCAAGTTCACAATAGACATTAATATTACTTGTCTTCAAATGCAAATGATACATGTACTTATTATAGGATAGGATATTTTATTTGGCGCATACACAATACAGAGCTAGTGTAAAGTCCAAAATAACACAAACAAAATAAGCTAAACAATTCTAAAACATGAAAAACAAATTTTGCTAGACTACTACAAATAAAAAGATCAGAACTTGAAAGAATCAAAACAAAAATATCCTCTCTAGCTAATAGTTGTAGATTATGCGCATAAACATAGATTGCTGTAAATAATGAATTTCTTAATTCCCTAATTTTGTCATGATTACATCTGAAAAGGTAATGTTATATTTCAGGTTGCCATCAGGGTTCATTTTCCGGACAGACTGGTATTGCAAGGGTTGTTCAGGCCACAAGAACCAGGTAATCAGGTCATTTTGTTGGGCAATAGCAATAAAACCTGTATAAATATAAATATATTTAGGTAAGGTACAATACTTGGGTATAAAAATGTTCCCATCTGATATCTAAATACATATTCTGTTCTGAATGTGCTTACTGTTGTCCAAAATATAGTTAACATTGCTGTTATACTTGTAGCATCTTTCTTAAGGCGCCACTGTTGCCATGTGTTTTTGAATTTGGTGAAGAAAGAATGCGATTTACATATCACCTACATTACCATATCGAGAAAATATAGAACAACGACTCAAATAAAATCAGTTATTGAACAAAATTACTTATAATTTCAGTAAAATCTGTAATGGAGTTTGTTAAGGACAATCTAGATGATAAAGATATGAAGTTTTATCTCTGTAAGTAACTATAATAGTGTTAACTTTTGAATGACTTGATAATATAAATGTTTGTTCGCCTAATGTAAATGTGTGTGTATGATTATAGTAAGTCATTAAATCCTGTATACAACCAATGTAATTGTTGGTTTACATACATTCTGTTGGAGATGTTCTTCTAATAGAACAAATACACTAAATATGCAATGAATATGAACATTCTTTGTCGTAGTACAATTGGCTGATACTGATGAGATACATTTGTTACATTCATGATAAATGTACACAGTAGAACTAGATTAAAATTGATAATAATGGCTATAATTATTATTGATTTCACATTTTTGTTCACATTACTTGGGCTAAGGCCTACCATTACAAACTTTGCATGGGGGAGATAGTAAACAAACTAGATTTAGTTTTCAGTTAGTTTTCAGAATTTTTCTTTTTTTTTTCAGATGATAAAAATCTGTTTATTGCTTTCCTTTATCAAATGTTAATGTCATTTTTCATGTAGAATTTTTTTAGCAAACATTTCTGTGTGTAGATTTGTTCTAATGTTCAACCCCTAATGCAAAAAACTACCCCTTGCTTCTTTCAGATACTACTCCCCCTAAATATGTACTGACAAAGGAAAACCAGTCTCTTCTTGAGGTAAGTTAACAACAATGTGTCAAATTTCGTATTCATCTCACATTATTTCAAAGTACATGTACAAAGTATGGTGTTATTTACATTACAGGCTAAGTTAGTTCCCGCTGCAAATGTGTATTTTGGGTGTGAGACACCAAAAGGTAAGCTCATCTCTATGTCTGACCTAAACAAAATTAAGTATCTCTCATAAATAATTCTTTGTATAAATATGTGTGTGTGTACTGCAATGGCAGTCAATTGATAATACATTCATTCAACTCCTGTTATTTTAAAATGATTATCTCAAGATGTATTGTTTGTCAAATAATATATTTGTTTATTGTTAGTTGTTCTATTCATGTAGACATAAATCTCTTGTTTCCACCATGTTATACCAGTTGTATAAATGCGATATTGATCTACTAGTAATTTGACATTTATCTTGTTTCCACCATGTTATACCAGTAGTATAAATGCGATCTTGATCTACTAGTAATTTGACATTTATCTTGTTTCCACCATGTTATACCAGTAGTATAAATGCGATCTTGATCTACTAGTAATTTGACATTTATCTTGTTTCCACCATGTTATACCAGTTGTATGAATGCGATCTTGATCTACTAGTAATTTGACATTTATCTTGTTTCCACCATGTTATACCAGTTGTATAAATGCGATCTTGATCTACTAGTAATTTGACATTTATCTTGTTTCCACCATGTTATACCAGTTGTATAAATGCGATCTTGATCTACTAGTAATTTGACATTTATCTTGTTTCCACCATGTTATACCAGTAGTATAAATGCGATCTTGATCTACTAGTAATTTGACATTTATCTTGTTTCCACCATGTTATACCAGTAGTATAAATGCGATCTTGATCTACTAGTAATTTGACATTTATCTTGTTTCCACCATGTTATACCAGTAGTATAAATGCGATCTTGATCTACTAGTAATTTGACATTTTTTTGCACTTCTCAACCTTTTGAATGCTATCATTTTTCTCACCAAAATTTGGAGCAGTGTAAATGGGTTAACTTCATTCTGACATTAAGCTGTTGTCATCCTAAATAGTATTACCGGTAAATACTTCTTCAAAGCTCAGTTTATCTTTCGGAAATTAAACATGCCGTTTTAGCAAATCAATGCCTAATAAATCGTATACAGTGTTGAAAACATCCGTATTGCATAGGCATCAGAGATATTCGTAAATTGATGAATATTTTCGGCTGGCACAATCCATCTTTCTGATAGAATACTTAGAGTATTTTTCTTTAATTTATTTGTTAATTTTTACACCATATGGACATATTTTTTCCATATAATTTGATTTTCCGATCAATATTTTTAACAAACTATTGAAAACATTCTGCAGGTTTAATTGGTAAAAGGTGACAAAAGTTGTTGTTGGTAAAATAGTTTATAAAGTAGTCACCATGGTAAAATCCAAATATTAGTCTTTGAGACAAAATTGTTTACACATTTATTTGTCACTAATATTAATACATAACTGTATTGCTTTGTGTTTACAGAGTGTTATTTACTACGTTCACTTCTGGGAGATGTGACAACACCAACGCAAGCTGACGTTAGTGTTTCATTCTTAAGGTCAGTATAATCAATGTGTAAACCCACCTATATTATGTATTGTTTCAGTGGATTTTATCTTACCACACCCACACTTGCATTTTTAATAATTATATTTGTAATAGTGCAAGTGAACTAATTTAATTATTCACTGCGGTTTAATTTCAATATTCTCACTGATGAAATTAAATCCAGATGAAAATGTAAATTTACAATAAAACTCAATGTCTTATGACAATCAAAGAATTTAAAAACCTTGTTGAATATGTTCAAAATGATGAAATTGAATTTCAGTGAAAATTGTTGATTTCATAGGATTCTGAGTGGTATTTCTGCTAATACATCAGTGGAAATAACAAATCAGTTGTGCAGTTTTTATAACCTGACTGGAAATATATAGATTTGTAGTTAAATATTGTTGCTTACTTTTTTCCTTTTTTGTATATATATATATTCGTTTAAAGTGCTGGCAAAACAATGACACCTGAAGGATCCTCATCAATTCCTCACAATGCTGCCACAGCAGGAACAAGTTCATCTTCTGGTGCAACAACATCTACAGATAAAATACCAAAATGGTTGAAATTACCAGGTATGATTTATTTAGTTGTTCACCAATGCATAACTTACCACATGTAATAACTGACAGCTCAGAACATCAGTATCAGGATACAATGTATAGCCAACATCATAATTACAAATTAATTTGGTGGGCCACTACACACATATTTAATACAAACATAAACAAACACAATCTTCAACATACTTTTGTTTAGTATTCTTAGGAATAAAATTCGCTATACTATATCAGTCTCCTATATATCAATATATATGAATTTCATGTAAACAAACAATTTTACATGCATTGTACTTGTCACATGGGACCCATATCGAATATGACATGGCACAACAATTGTATTGCTTCAATAATACCAATATTTACAATGTTATAATATAATCAATGAGTATATTTATCAAACATTATGTACCCACGTGATATGAAATGATCTGATATGAAATGACTCTTTACAATACCATACTAGACTGGCTTAGCATCCATGCTCTGCTAAGTGCCACCCCGACTTTTGATACATTTCTGTTTTCAGGATCACATTCGGCTAAGCGCCCATCCGTACTAAATTTCATTCATTTTTCATTCAATTTACAAATTTCATTAAGTTTTACTGTTTGTATATTGTAATATGAACAGACTAATTTTTATTCTTTTCATTTTTTTTAGGTACAAAAAAGTAAATTAGATTGTGAACGAAGATGTATTTTTGTTTTCTTTTTATGCCCAGCTAAATAGAGAAGTATTTGACTTTCATTCCATTTTCTTTTCAAATATATATGTCACTTAGTAAAATATGCAAAAGTAGTTTATATATTTCGTAATATCTACAAAATAAACTGATTTCATATCATGTCAGTGTAATTTTAGTTTTTTTCTGATTCAAGTTATTCTGGCAAAGTTAGGACTGTTTTTGTTATTTTGTGAATGTGTAACTGTTTATGAAATTAATCCTAACTATCGGTATATCTATTCTTAATCAATCATTCTCTGTTATTGTCAGAAAGTTGAATTGCTTGGTGATTATGATAACTATTATGTATCAAGAGGAATAAAAAAAAAACATACAGTACATTTATTTGTATTACAAAATGTATTTTACATTTTAGTTCACAGCTACTTTATAATCCAAATGGTTCTGTTTGTTTATGCTAATGTTGACAACAGATAGGATTTATTTCATACTGCATGATATATTTACTCAAAAAGGAAGTCAATACCGCATATATACATTTATATTTGGCTTGATATTTCACACATACCAATATAATGTACTGTGAAATTTATTTTTTGCTTGGAATTTATTTTTGATGGAGGGATGATTCAGAAAATAAAAATCAGCTAATATATACTTTTCTTACTACACTTTTCCCAACTCTCCACAAATCAGTGAAAATAAATTCCATATAAAACACTCAAAGTGTCTTTTCAGTGAAAATTAATTCCAAGTAAAATAAAGTATTTTACAGTTATCATATTTTGATACTTGCCTGTTACGCGATGCCAGTACATGTACACAGTATATAGAGGTCCTGTTTGAATTCAGATGAATTTAGAGTTCATTGTCATGTGCAATTATAGAGAATATTTAAAAGTATTATATAACATTGCTTTTCATTTCTATGTAAAAAAATAAATTCTGCAATTTGTAATTGAATCTTCTTGGAATCAACAGATTTATAAAAGTCAATATATCATCTATTCTTAATATGATTGTGATTGTTCTTTAGAAGTATACTCTGTGTATTTGGAGTTATTAAATTGTTACATGGCCTAGAAAAATTTAAAATAGTTGTGTAACCAGTGAAGATAGTGAGCAGACATCTTATCACAAGATTAAGCCTTCTATGCTGTTCTGTTGGATTTAAGTACTTTATTGAACACATGTATCTTCAAAAAGAGTGGAGGATCCTCGTAAAGAGTGGAGGATCTTCCATGGGATAATGTTTTCTGTTCCTCATGCCAGTTCTCATAAGAGCTGAGGCTACCAGCTCTGTATCTGGGCTCTTTACCAGTTGATTTGAGAAATAAATATGTTAATAAAAGTATCCCTAGTGGTTCGGCTGATTAGCATAGTTGAATACTGAAATCACTAAAATAGTTCTCCAACTATCTGTACTTGACTTGCCAGGTAAATGTCAGCTTTGAAATATCACAAAGTACAGAAACCCCCGGTGGGAAATTTGGTTATAAATATGCTGGTGGCTGAACAAGCATACACACTGCTGACGTAATTTGATAGATTATCAGAAATCCACAAATGGTCTCTTATGAAGTTACAGTTACAGTCCATCATAATGGACTGTACCAGAAATGTAATTCGATCATGACACCTGAAAAATATGCTTGCTGCACATTCTCTAAAGGTCTATATATCATTGCTTTTTCACTGTATCTAAAAAATATCATATACAAAGCACCACCTGTGTGCGTCCGGACCTGTATCTTAAACATGCCTGGACCAATCACAATCAAACTTCACACATAATATTTATACATATGCATCAATTTGTTTCACAATCTGATTGAAAATAGCATTTATGGATGGATTTTGTTTAAACTTGGTACATACGTTGGACGTTATGGGACCTTGATGCACATCATTTTATTTTCCAGATCCAATTTAAAATGGCGGACTGGCGACCATTTTGTTTTAATGAATGCAGTTCTAGTGCCATATCTCTGCCATGCCATTGATTATGGCGTCAGACTACATTCACCATTAAATACAAATTGATAATCGAACAGTAGTATGGCATAGCAGTTGGCTGTAATAATGAAGGGGAATATACGCATGTGCAAACTACTTTTCTGGGTTCTGCGCATGCTCTAGGTCCATGCCCTGAAGTTTACCTTATTTGACGCACATATTTACACTTGAACCAAACCATTTTCTCGTCTTGGATGTTTTTTCTGTTATTTTTGTCCATGATTGAATAGAAAAAAAAACGAATTACAAATACTCCAAGATTTGTTTGACTTAATTGCTACAATTTGCTAGAAAAACGAATAATTGAATCACACACACAAATTGTTTGGCAGAAAGGAGGTACTTTCATACAAAACTAGGCCTGAACAGCGCCCTCAAAGTACCCCAGACTACAACAGGAAAGTAAGTAATTACTGAAACTGATTAAATTCACAATGCTGTTAAAAGTGTTACAATTCAGAAAAGGGATGTGGGAAATGAAAAGAAAGGAAAGTGGTGGGGGGTGGGGGGTGAACAAATATAAAGCAACCGGGAAAACAAAAATACTGAAGCAGACTGAAAATCTGCTGCCACTAGGTGGCGCTATATACTGGTGGCTACGACACAGACAATTGAACATGCAAATTTATATATGTGCAGCAATTTATACTGAAAAATCCATCCATAAATACTTTTCTGGGTTCTGCGCATGCTCTAGGTCCATGCCCTGAATTTTACCTCATTTGACGCATATATTTACACTCAAACCAAACCATTTTCGCGTCTTGGATGTTTTTTTCTGTTATTTTTGTCCATGATTGGATAGAAGAAAAAAAACGAATTACAAATACTCCAAGATTTGTTTGACTTAATTGTTACAATATGCTAGAACAAAGAATAACTGAATCACACACACACAAATTGTTTGGCAGAAAGGAGGTTGCCCGTGTAAACAAGATCTGCATAATGATCAACTGATGAATATTCATGATCTAACCCAACAAATCATTGAAAAGCCCAAAACCCAATTATCCCAGAAACCCAATATGCAGCGTTTCTGACAGACCAGCCGTTGTATGAGCTCAGAGATCCAACTAGGCCTATCTGGTTTCTTAGCACAGTCAAATTTGGTCAGCGTTACATCTTTGGTATCACGTTACCTCGTAGTAAAATCCTCAGCGCATTCAACGAAACCTTAGAAAAAAACTCCCGTGTATTGGAGGCACAGTCAAATTAATTCGAAATTTAAGATTAGTTTTTCAAACAAGTACCTTGGCAACTAATATTTGTCTGTTATTTGAGATTCACAGCGTGAAAACAGAATGATCCACATTATCGAACATTATAATACATCTTTGTACTTACAGAAAATACATTTGATTTCACATCGGTGGTTTTTAATCAAATTAATTCCAGAGCACCTCTAGCAAAAATTCAATTAAATCTGTGTTTTAGATGTCAGAAATGGGCTAATAATAACTAGATAATCAATATGCAAGTTTTTCAACATTAAACTAATCATGTCTGTGGATGAACCAAATGAATTATGCAAATTAAGCAAGTATTGTGCATAGACTTGGGTCTGTTTATTGTTCCAGGGCGCGCGTGTACCAAGTTGTGTTGTGTCATTATGTTGTGTACTTCGCTATGAGTCCCATGTCGAACAGGACGCGGCGCGACGACCACCGCCCTTTAATATGCACAGATAACTAATAAGGTCTACGCAATGTCACAGACCATCCATGTACCAAGTTTTATTGAAATGGAATACTAGTACATTTGTACTTGTGATATCAGTGTGAAAGCTGAAAATTGGCTAATGCAATTGGCTAATTATATGCAAATTAGGTAATTAATATCCACAGATATTAACCTAAAATATATCAAGTCTATGTAATCTAAATACTCTCGCTACATTAAAAGTTGCCAAGCTGTGTTATTCAATATTCGCTGTCGGTATTCACTAAATCTGGTTCATTGGTACATATGAATTAAAAGTAAATGTACAACTGTGTAGTTAGTTATTATTTCATCCAACCCAAACTACTCCATACGCAGCAAAAGCACTGTTTTCAAGTGACGATATATTATTTTATATATCAGCATGTAATTTTGATTACAAATATTAATAAACAAGTAATCTATATTGCTCTAATCCACCATGGGACCACCGCTTGTACCTGGTGGCGCCATCGCTGAGACCAGCGCGTCGTATCTGGTGGCGCCTTCCACGGGTTTAGTGGGTCTGGTGGCGCCCTGGCCATGTCATCTGTAAGTCGGCGATTAAAATAATAACTCCTTTGCCGCGTTCAACAAAAATATTGTCAATTTGGATTCGTATATGTGATTATTATGTAGTTCAATTGCTGTGTTCGTTGTACAGCGCGTTCGAAGTTCGTGTAAACAAACAATATTTTTAAACATGTGTATGCGTCGCATAGGACCACATAGAACGCGGGACCGACTTCCCTCAAGCTATCCAGGGAAACAATTTGTTAACTATCATAGCACAGAGGGTGCCGATAAAGCTCAAACTGCACATGTATATGTATTCATATGATGGTAGTACACATGGTAACGTATATATATAATTATATGATAAATATCATGATAGTCGGCCCTGATTCTAATTAGATATTTCAAATATGTGGATGACATCCCGGACGAGCGTCGCGCTTGTTTTTCATAAAACAACAATTATAGTTATCCGGTAACATATAACACGTCGATATGTGTATCGCATGCATCATTCGTCACCTCATTAGTAACATATTAGGTTACTATAGTTCAGGTCACTTTAATAATGTATGACATCACAGTCATCCAATGATTTACAGAAAATGAAAACTGCATATTAATGTAGAATATGCTTCCAGGTCCTTGACTACATTGTACATTGTTAGCACATTAGACGACTCGCAGCATGATGCCATAACCATACGCATATCACATGTACCAGAGTAGAAGTTACGTCATGATGAATTGTTCACATTGTTCACCGAGAACTATCCAATTACGTAGTAGGTTACATGTGACCCGGGACATGTAACACTACAGAAATCTTCGCACGTCCTGTGTATTTGCCAGACTCTGATAG